TCGGTATGCCGGTTATGTTAAATACCAGCAGAATGTTAATGAACGTTTAAGACTCTATTTAATAAGAAAATAAGTTGAGGTGAATGCTGGGCCGCAATTCTAATTGCTTTTTTATTTTAATTAAACTAACAAACTTTTTCATTTCATTTACATTTACATAATTTAAACAACAATTTTTTTTTGTTCTTCGTTAAATGTGACATTAAACGTGTGATAACCAGAAAAGTCGCCTCAATTAAAACAAATACCGATCAAATAAATATATAAAAAAATAGAAATTACTTCCATCTAACATAGTAAAAATGACTTCCCGGCACTATTTTGGCAGAGGTATGTAAAACACGTCTTCAAAATACAACAACAAGAGAATGAAACAAACTACATGAAAATCATTTAACACTCACACAACTCTAATGAGAAATGAAACCTTTTCAGCTGCGATAAATCAAAACGACACTGAATCACCCTAATGCTACATACTACATAATACATTATAGATATATATATAATGATTTCGTAATGTCTGTTCAATTAATTTCATAAATTTTTTGGTTTACCTTAATATTGATTATGGAAAATTGAAAGAAATTTTAGTTTTGTTCAATTCGTTAATTGTTAATTGATTTCATGTGCGTGTGTGTGTGTGTCTCTGTTTTATATTTTACGTTTCTATACATATAAATATATATATTAAATTTGATAGAAAAGCGTCCGAGAGAGCACACTGCATGGCTTTCAGTAAATGAAGCTTACAAAAGTTGTCTAAAGAAAAAAAAAAAAAATGAAAAATGAAAATCCCAAAACACCTGCATAAAAGTTCGAATATCTACTTTAACTTTTCCCAAAACCACGCTCTGCACTCTCTGCAACTTTTTGTCTAGAACTGTGCCACGCCCATACAACCAAAAACACCGCCCTCCCAAAGTCGCTTTTTGAAATTAGTGAAAATTGATTCGAATTCGAAAATCTCGAAAACTCAAGCTGCACTTAAAGCTTGTTTGGATTATTGTTAACAGCTTGTTTTAATGCACGTTCACTTTGCTCTCTCTCTTCCACTCTCTCCCTCTCTATCTCTCTCTCGCTCTGTGCAGAAGTGGCCTCTTAAACTTTAGCGCTGTGGCCCTGGCACTCAATGATTTGGGCTATCATGCCCTGGGCATACGCATCGACTCTGGCGACTTGGCCTATTTGTCCTGCCTGGCGCGCGAGGCCTTCGAGAAGGTGGCGGATCGCTTTAAGGTGCCCTGGTTCAACAAGCTAACCATCGTCGCCTCCAATGACATCAACGAGGATACCATATTGAGCCTGAATGAGCAGGGGCACAAGATCGATTGCTTTGGCATTGGCACGCACTTGGGTGAGCAGCTGAAGATAAGAGAAATGAATACAAATATTAATTTCATTGAATTGAAAATCCATTCGCAGTCACCTGTCAGCGGCAGCCAGCGCTTGGCTGCGTTTACAAGCTGGTGGAGATCAATGGGCAGGCGCGCATCAAGCTAAGCCAGGATGTGGAAAAGGTGACCATGCCGGGCAATAAGAATGCCTATCGTCTCTATAGCGCCGATGGCCATGCTCTGATTGATCTGCTGCAAAAGGACTCGGAGCATCCGCCGGCTGTGGGCCAGAAGGTGTTGTGTCGCCATCCGTTCCAGGAATCGAAGCGCGCCTATGTCATACCCTCGCACGTTGAGTCCCTCTACAAGGTGTACTGGAAGGCGGGCAAGATATGCCAACAGCTGCCGACGCTGGAGCAGGTGCGCGAGAAGGTGCAAATATCGCTAAAGACCTTGCGCAACGATCACAAACGCACGCTCAATCCAACGCCCTATAAGGTGGGTCTCTGGGTCACTGGAGATTATTAAAGACATATATTTTATATGAAATCCGTTCAATCTCTCTCCAGGTCGCCGTCAGCGATAATTTGTATAACTTCATACACGATCTGTGGCTGCAGAATGCGCCCATTGGCGAGCTCTCATGATCTATATAAAGAGCCTAGCTTGGCCGCCCTACGAAGCAACAAACAAACCATAATTGAATACAACAATTCCGCAATAAATCTATAATTTTTTTTAGTCATTTGCTGGTCATATGCATTAACAGGAAAACAGGAAAACTTCAATGTGCAAAAATGTGTTTTTGTTAGCACAAACTATATATATATATAAACAAATAGAGCTGCTCATCATTAGAACGAATCTTAACAATATATATACGTTTATATATATATATACTATATTCTATATATCTTCTATATACACGCACATATTAATCAGGAATGTGTCATGTGCCTTACACCACAACTACAAAGAGGAGAAAATATCTTAAACTGTAACCAAATACTTAAGAGGACAGAAACGACGACGACGACGAAGATGAAGACGAAGAGAACAAGAAAATCTGGATGTATTTAATATTTTTTAGTCATTAAGTGTTGTATGTTGCTAACACAAAAGAAAAACAAAAACAAAATGAAAAACTAGAATCAGTTGAAAGTACAAATGTTTTGCTAATTAGTTTGCATGTTTAGGCGGACACAAGAAATGCACACACACACATGGAACACACTTAAAAAATACTTAAATAATTAACATATTATCTAAATTCCTATGTTTAATTAATAATCAAGTGTAAATATGTTCAACTTTATAAATGTAAGCCAGAAAGCAATACACAATATACACACAAACACACACACTCACGTTTATTAAAAGAGCGCTTCAACAAAATTTCTAAAAGTGTTTTCATTTAAAAATAAATAATAGAAACTGTAAGGCAAATATAGGTTTATCTGGCTAAACTTTGCATAAAGTCGAGGTAAAGTATATTTATTATATGCAATTTAGAAAAGATTGAAGTAAAATTGATAAAATGTGAAATATTTTGAAACAATATAGTAATAAACATTTCAATTAATGCTCTTGAAACCTAACATCTGAAACCTCACTGTTAAATTTGAATTTCGCGCAATTTTTTAACAGTAACAGCTTTCTCGTCTTTTCCTTCGCTGTAGAGCGCTCTGTTAACAGACCACGCAGCGAGTTAGCAGTTCTTTTCACAGCTGTTGCAGCGTGTGAATTGTTTGTTTACTTGTATTAAAGAAATTAATTGAAAAACGCTCTTTTAAGCTCAAATACTTTTGCACTGGCTGCAATATATGATAATAATGAGTGGTATAATCGACCTGTCCTGTGTGAAAATTGAGCGCGACCAGGAGCTGGAGCAGCAGCAGGAATTCCATGGAATTTTGGAGAACGCCAACTGTGCTCAACTAAAAACTGAGTTGTCTTTCCCAGAGATAGACATAGGACCAGTTAAAGTAGATCCGGATGGATTGAGAGAAGAGCCAGCAGGCAAGGGGCAGGTTAAACAAAGAAATGAGACTCTGAGGACTTGCAAGAAGAAGAGAGCTGCTGCAGCAGCAGTTGCTGTGTAAGCCACATGGCTTTAATGACAGCTTGAAAAATTTTTTAAATATAAATATCTGCTCTCTCTTTTTCAGTTCTTCTACTGCTGCCAAGAAACAGCATCAGTGCCCACATTGTCCACGGCATTTCGAACGCAGCGATGAGCTGAGTATTCACCTGCTAATACACACGCATAATCTCTCCTACAAGTGCTCCTACTGCCCGTGCAGCTTTTCGCACAAATCCATCTATACAAGCCACATGTATGGACACACGGGGAAATTTCCCCATCAGTGCCCCGACTGTCACCAGGGCTATATGAAATATGCGGATCTGATGAAGCACCAACGCACGCATATTATCAGGGATATGAACAGGTGTCCTTTGTGTCCCAAGAATTGCATACACAAGGGCAAGAATTTTCTTCAATGCCCGCAATGTCCACGCGTCTTTGCCAAAGGCTTCGAACTGGAGATCCATCTGCAGATCCACAGCAACAAGTTGCCCTACAAGTGTCCACATTGTCCGATCAGCTTTGCCCACAAATCTAACTTTATAGCGCACGTTCGCGAGCATACGGGCGAATTTCCACATAAATGCCCGAACTGTCCGAAAGGATTTATGAAGCGCACTGATTTGATTAAGCACATTTGTGAAGGGTGGAGTACTCCAAGCAGGGCGAACAAGAAGAAAAAACTTGGAATTGATAAGGAGGAGCCAGTGGAGCAACCCGAAGCGCTGCTAAAACAGGAGCCAGCTAAGACTCGGGTGGGAAAAAGAAGCAGTCCAAGAGCCAAACGGCCTGCACAGCAATTGACAAAAGTAGAGAGCATAAAAGAACC